TTTCAGATAATTCTTTCTTTCATTTTACTCCTTTCACATATGCAATTTATAATACATTATATACAACATTAATTACTGCCAATTCGATACATTAATTTTCTGTTTTATTTTTTTAATTTCCAAACCAATATTTATTTTATTAAATATGTTACATTTCCATACATCTCAATATATTGTTATGTATTGTGAATATATTATATGATAATATGTATGTGTATTCCTCAGATAACTCAGATTATCAACAGGAGCAATCACTTACCTTCAATTGCTCAGATGTGGGCGCCAGTCTTTATATGATGACATGTTAAAATTAACTGATTTGCCTCTCTATATTTATACTAGTTACTCTCTTAGCATCTAAGTGAGTAGCCCAAGAATATAATATATTTGTCTCATTAGTTGTTTTTAGTATTTTAAAGGCCAACAAGACACAGCTTCTATAATAAATGTGACAATGTCGTTTTAATAAATTTTACCATTTTTTATAGTAGGCAGTAGGCAAGCCAAAATGTCTGGACAATTTCCAAAGTGACAAATGTTTGAGAACCACCGAAATTAATTTACTTAATATATCGTAAATTAAATTTTGTTTTGTTTAATATTACATTAAATTCTACGATTACAAATTAAATAAAACAAAGATAAATCTTGATTTATGCTGTTCATAACACAGTTGCCTGCGGTAATGATTAATTAAATAAAGAGAAACCGTTTATTTGGAGAATTTCAACAGGTATCTAAATATTCTGCTGCTTCTCTCCAACATAATATAATCTCATATCTTATTATTGGAAATTTTGGTTGTAACATTTTGAGAGTTGTCTATTTTATACTACACGTTGGTTTTTACTACTTTATAAAGTGATCTTCCCACATAGTCTCCAAAAATCATTATAAACAAAATTGTTACAGCCACCTAGCTTGAGAATTATCCCATGTTCATTATTCATGGATTATTTTATGTATATTAGGTTCGCCCATTGAAGATAATATATCCCAGTGAAAGAAAATAAAGGAGTACTGTTAAGGAGGGAACGCATTAGGTGGTCGCGGTCCCGTCGCATCGCGGACCTTCTGAGCTAATTGTAAGCTGATCGCGGTCTTTTACAAAATCTGTCGCACACAATCCTGCTCGCGCTCTCCTTTAGATAGTTGCTTTATTGTTTTAATAGTTATGAAAATGAGTTCTATGGAAGAAGTATTTTTATTGGCTCTTCTATGGCCTCCCGGGATTCTTTGGAAAATATCGGTGGAGAACGCGATGCGAGCGAGACGAGTTCGGGAATGTCTAGTGCGAAACATGGGAATGAACTTCACCGCGCGCGATCGAGACTAGCATGGTCCGCGATGCGACGGGACCGCGACCGCCAAATGCGTTCCCTCCATTATACAGCAATTTTGGAGGACGTTATGCTAGATTCTTGTAAGTCTATTAAGTTTTCTATAAAACAACTCCCGTTCTTAAATTCATGCCACTGTTTCTCGAAGACAAGAAGTTAAAGAAATTGAAGAATTTAGAAAATAGCAATTTATTAAATGCTGGGATTTTCTGCACAGCAGCAAAGTGCTTGCTCTTGGAAGTGCACCTTTGTATTTAAGGTCTATTTTCATAGTCAGATATTAAGCCTAAACGTACCGTTTTGGTATTTCCCTTTTTAATTTGCATTTGCATGTTTGAAAATATTAAATGTCTGGAAATCTAAAAACAAGACAGTAAGATTCGGTTTTCACCACTAATTTAAGCATGAAAAACTATCTTATGAGTTACTTGCTTAGTACATTTTCGAATAGAAAGATAATAATTACAGGCTTTAGAGGTTCCAAAGTTTGGATCCTAAATAACATTTATTAATGGAACCCTGGGCTATATTTCGAGCAAATATAAAATTTAATTTTCTTTCTACCTTATTAAGGGCCCCATATTCTCTAAATAGAGTTTTCCGCAAAGACAAATAATTTCAAACATTTAATAACTGAATAAAAAAACGATCAAACCATCAAGGTTTTAGGTACTGAAATCTATGAAAATACTAACTTTTTCATATATAACTCCACATGTAAATATTCTTATAACATTTACTTGCTTAGTCCCACATATAAAATTGTTTACTTTTATTTATAAGTACGTGAAAAGAATTCTTAAAATGAGAGGTTAGGTTAACAGAAAACGCATGTTTTACAAACGCTTTTTTTAGTTATTATTTTATTTGGGAAAATTTAAATGGTAACAATGAATAAACAAAACATCAAGGATTTTATTTTTGTGCTTACTTTTGTTCTACACGTTTTACTTTTCAAGATTTCAGTACCTAAACATGCCAGAAATTTCACCATTTCTCGGCCAGGGATATGGCCACCTTAAGCACATAAGGATCAATTTCTTTTAGTTGTTTCCAACGTTAATAAAGAGCAGAGGACATGATATAATACATTTTCCAATGCATAATAGTGTAAATAACGTTTTAAGTAAACATTTTCCACATAAAATAATTTCAATAATATTACTTCCGAAGTTCTTCATAGTGTTGATGGAGATTTTAAGAAAGGAATATTACGAGTATGTGCTCAACAAAATGGCAGATATTTTGAAAAATTTATATTATATACGTTCTTATATAGGTATACGTTATTGTTTTTCTAATAATTTTGTATTATTTGTTATTATTAATTGTTTTACGATTAGCACTTACGCATTTTTAAGCTCATATGCTGACTTAATATTATCAGATTTTCATGAAAATTGTGTTTTCATTGACAATAAATTTATTTACATGTTCTCGTAGCTTTTTCCAATATCAGGTGTCCAAAATTTACGCAAAATTTGAATGCACCATTTGTGAAGTAAAGTATTGCCAAGAAAAAAAAACACTTATTATTATTAAAAATGGGGGGCTAC